TTAGGTGAGCTTTAAGAAAAGTGAGCTATCCAAGATATACAATTGACAAGTAAATTAGATCGTTCAAAGAGATCAATAGTAAAGAGATTAAATTGTATAATAACAGATAAGAGTTACAAATAAATGTTGTCAAAGGAATAAATATATATATATTGGATAGTAAAAATTAGTTTTTGATGGTAATGGATTCAAAATAAAAGATAAAAATAGAAAGAGTTTGATTAAAATATTATTGGGTTACAAAAGTGTAAGAAGTAATAATAAATTTAACTTTGGATCAATTCCAAAAGTTTTTGAAAGTAGGAGATAATTCTTGAAGTAGGCAGCAAATTAAACAAGAGTTATCAATATAAGAAGAATAAATTTGATTGATATTAGTGTTTAGATTTGTTTTGTGAAAAGTATTATGTATACTATTAATAATAAAGTGATTTTTTAAACTATTCATATAACAAAATTCAAACCCTTTGCTAGACTTTAGATTCTCGAATCACATTCTAAGTGAATATCTCCAATACTGAGCAAGGCTTCTTGATTGTTTTCAAAAAATAGTTTACAGAGTAATGAATCTCACAGTCACCACCAATTTGTCAATCTATCCAATTAACTTCAAATCAGATAAATAAATGGAACAACTATAGTAGTAATCCACTTTAAGTTGAGGAAGAGTACCTCAGTTGTGATATACTAAAGTTGATAATTCAAGGATAATAGAGTTTATACAAATATATTAAAAGAGACTTTGGTTAATTTGATTAAATTAGAAGATTTATTAGATATATATAATGTCAAGGATAAGATAATTTACTAGATAAAATTTTGGGTTAACTGCTTTGAACAGCTGATCTTTATATACATAATTGAATATTAATTATTTGATAATCAAAGTAACCAAAGTAATCAAATCTATCAGATTTGTCAAATCAGATTAATATGTCAGATCTGCTTATTTGGATAACTTGCTAGCTAAATATAGATAAGATATAATAATTGAATAAAGAAATTAAATAATGTGCATTACATCAATCACTACTTTGCCCTTATGATTGAATCTATCCTAGAAACTAATGAAACATAATTTGCATCACATGTATCACATGATCTAAAAATAGAACTAAAGTAACATGATAGACAAGAACTATAGATAATAATTAAAAAGAAATATAGCTATTAATTAAGGCTAACAGTATATATTGATAATATAGTTATATTTATACTGAACCTTAAAAATGGATTGAACATGAACTCCAAATAGTAACAGTGGTCTTTAAAATTGACAAGCAGAAAATTAATTAGGAAGTTTGATTGAAACAATAGGAACTACTATAGTGGAATCAAAATGTAAAACAAAGAAGTACTTTTTCCATCATATTAGTTCATCTACAATTCTATTACAAATAGTATTACTTGTTATTCTATATATTCAAACAATCAATAATTTTATATATATTTCAAATCTGATTACTATCACAACTAAATAGATAAGAAAGTATTAAGAAAAAAAATACATTTACACTTTCAGAAAATTTCACAAAATAATAATCCACAGTATCAATAAATGAATCAAGTATCACATATTTGTTGGGACTAAAAAAGATTGAGATACAAATAGATAATTGGAAAGTCAAACTAATTAAATAGGCTATATAATTAGAAAAGTATATAATAGATCTAATAAAGAATCTTAGATACAACTATAAAAGAAACATAAAGCAATTTACTTTCTTTACTGATAGATTTTACAATCAATGTATAAAAAGCAAAGATGAATTTAAAATAGATTGTGCATAGATTTAAACTGAGAATAATATAAGAATCAATCAACTCTCAACAGAGGTAACATTATGGCTATCAGTTACAAAAATACAAATTCTAGCTATATTTACTATAATTTTTACAATACCTGAAAATAAAAAAGTAATTATATATACAGATTGTAGTATAGTTATCAAGATATAGAAGACAATTTAGTTATAAAAGTTTATTTTCATAAGGAAATGGATTAAAATAATTAACCGATCACTATGAAATTATATCAAGGATCTAATATAAAAGAAAAACCTTTATTTCATACTTGAAAAAATCAAGGTTCACCAAGATAACAAGTTTAACAATATAGCAGATAGGTTAGTAAAACAAGTCAGAAGAGAAAACTCTTTAATTTGACAATAAACATATTATTTGAATCAAGTTTTTATAATAGTAGTTCGGAAAGAACTTATTATTTATATTAGTATTAGAGATTTCATTAAAAAAATAAAATATAAAGAAAATATGGCTAGTTTGAATTGAGCAAAAATGTATTTAAGACCAATAAATATAATTTAGTAAGGAAATTAATTGATAAATTTTTTAGAAATGATTCAATCTATATAATATTTTTTATATTTCTTTTATCGCCAACAAGGACAAGAGTTTTCTAGTAAATTTAATCCATGATGAACTTTCTATTCTTCAAGTGATACAAAAATAAAAATCAAATTTATATCCAAACATAATATGTTTAATATGCAAATTGTAAAAGAAAATCTTAAAACATCTCTTTAAATGTCTCAAGACTTAGAATGAAAGATTAATTATATGGAACAAATCTCAAAGTAAAATTTTTTTGTATATTAGAAAAAAAAATCCCTTATCTGATAAGAGTCAAGTAGAAATTAAAAGAGTAATAGAAAAATAGATTCAGAATATTAAATAATAGAATGAAAGCTTATATAACATAATAAGTGACTTTATACATAGATATAAGATCAAGATCCTAGAAGAGTATCTCAAAACTCTCAAGATTTCAGTGATAACAATACAAGAGGTTATTGATAAATATTGTAAAAAAATAAAGAAGATCTTCCAGAAGGAAGTTTGAAATAAGTACTATGGTATTACTATTGAATGAAAACAAAATCAAGAAATTATAAGTAAATTTAAAAGGTTTGAAGTATCAGTTAATACAATTAGAAAAATTAATTAAGTTCTTAAAGAAGATAACCACTTTTTAATTTTTATCTTTAAAAATATAACAGAAGAAAAAAAAGACTTAAAATAAATAAAGTCTTAAGATAATATAGTAAATATAATAAGTAATTGGATATTCAAAGGTTTTAAATAGTTTGCTTTTTATTTATAGTTAGAACTTTGAAAGATCTATAATGATAACTATAGATAATAATCTGAGTAACTAGAGGATAATCCAAATTACAAAGGAAATGAAGTATTATCTCTTAAATTGCATCTAAAGAAGGTTAAATTTTGTAGATGAGTGAGTTAATATGCGAAAGTCATAGAATATATAAATATCAAAATATATTTATAATAAAATATACAAGTCACATTGGTTTGATTGCAGGTTAAAAAAGAAAATATTTATTTATTTATTATACAGTAATTAGTATATTTGATTAATCTTATTGTTTATTTTTTAACTTTCTTATTTTAAGTAAAGCTTTATATACAATTTTTTTGATTATCTTTTTCAAATTTTAAATTTTGTTAAAAATAATTATTATTAAAAAAAGAAATATTTTTGTTTTTGAAAAAAATTGAATTTATAATTTTTATTTTATTTTTGTTTTATGATAATTTTTTATTTATAATTTGTATTTTCTTATTTTTGAGTTATTTATATTATAATTAGATTTACTATTTTCATATTATCGTTTTTTGAATTTTTTTACACTATTTTTTCTTTAACCATTTTATCTTGAGATTACTATATTACAGTATATATAAATAGAAAGAAAGATATTATAAACAAATAATATTATTTTTAAGTATATACTTAATTTATATTTTTTTTACTTATATATTAAGATATTTATAACAATGATAATATTTATTTTATTAAATAATTTACTAAAAAAAAAAATTCAAATCAAACTTTTGACTTTCGAACTTTACGATGATTTCATTTTCCAATATCTAATATATATGCATACTGTATATATACTTAAAAACTTAAATATATATGACCTGATTTTATTTCAAATATTAGAATTCTTGAGAAGATTCTTTATTTGAAACCAAACCCTTCATTGCTAATGATTACGTAATCGCAAAATACTATACGTATCGGCGTATACTGTAATAAGATCTTGACTACAATTTCCGGGTTTAATCTGGTTGCGTAGTGGCTGTGCATCCAAATAATGTATGTGTAAATACTCGGTAAACGATGTAACGTAACCTTTCATTACTCAGGTGACTAACTTAATACGCCAGGGGAAACTTCCAAATAATTGTACACAGATTTCTGTCAACATGTGGAGATTACACAATGTGTGAAGGAATTGGCAGCAAAATGCATTATACGTAATTGGTAAGTGATTGAATCCACTTAAGTATAGGAAAATTACGAAATCGATTTTGTCAAATTTCACTATTTTCTTATATAATGAACAAACTCGTGCTTTACAATAATAACAATAAACATCCATATGGAAACTTGTGCCTTACAATAAAATAGTCGATTTCCTTTTTTCTTTCATCCTTATCATACCCAAAGGAGACTATAATAAATTTTGAGGAAAAAAAGGACAGCTTACAATACCGAGAGCAATAATTCACTTTTGTGTAAATGCTTGTCCGTATAAAGGCAGTTATTCACATTTCTTTTTTTTAATTGCGAAATTAAAGTATAAGAAATCTATGGTAATATGCTAAAAAGAATTTTTGACGATTCAATACGCACACAAAAAAATCAATTCTCTTCATTAATATTTGATAGTAGGTTGTAAAATAACAGAAATCAATCTAATCTATTTTTGTAGAAAACGTTGTAAACCTTTGTCCCCTGAACCGTGTTTTTAAAAATACAATACTGTAAACAATTTTCGGATGATCATTATTTATCCGAGGTAATTTTGTCGAGTCGATCCCGTTCAGTGATTCGACTTTGACGTTTTCTATAAAGTAGTTTAGTTACCTTACGCCTACATAGAAAAATCCGGAAGGATCTACAAATTAATATAGTATGTAGATAGGAATGTGCGTATGAACAATTTGGCATGGAAAATTCTGCAACATCATCGTTCAATCCTTCACATTCTGGCAGGGTGCAAAAAGAATGGTTCGAGAATGCAATAGAAAGCGGAAAAATTGTTAAATTTGATTACAAAATATTTGATAACTTCCAAAATATACGGAGAGGAGCATTTAGCAATGTTGATAGTGCCACATTGAAAGCGGAAAATAAAACTGTAGCCTTGAAAACGATTACTCTTAATTCAACGTTCACATTAGAATTGTTCGTTAATGAGGTAAGTTTGATTGGTACCCATTATCAAATATGAACCACAACGTTGATTCTTTTTTTTTTTTTTTAAAAAAAAAAAAAAATGCACCAGCTAAAGCATTGCTCGAGTATCGAGACTCACGAAAATGTCATTAGCTTTCTTGGAGTCACGCAAAAATGTAATAAAAAAGTTTTTTTTTTTTTTTTTTTTTTTTTTTTTTTTGGATAATGAAATCGCCTAATTATACTTTCGACAGATGCAGGTGTTGATGAATACTCGTTCGTTATGGAATTCGCAAATGGTGGAACACTCGATAAATATTTAGAATCCGCTTTTGAAAATTTAGAATGGACTGACAAAATGCGCCTCGCGCAGCAAATTTCCAGGGCGATAATGCATCTGCACTCACGTGACATTGTTCACAAAGATTTGGTAATTCGTTTTTTATACTTTATTTTTTGAACCAAAGGATGTCATGGTTACTCTGACCAATTCAATTACATTCTTGTTAGCACCCCGATAATATACTTATTCACGATGGTGTTATAAAAGTTGGTGGTTATGGTATATCGAAGCATATTACTGAACCTTCTATCAAAATGACAAAATTATTTGGATCCATTGAATATTCTGATCCAAAATATCTCGAAAAACCGAATAGCTACAGTCGAACAAAAGCTTCAGATGTGTACAGCATCGGAATGCTACTATGGCAAATCTCAAATGGTCAGTCTCCTTATAAGTCAATGCCACTTGAAGGAATAGAATTAATAAATTATATTATAAGTGGAGGCAGAGAAATTCCAGTTATTGGGACTCCCCGGGAGTATGTGAAGGTTTATCAAGGTACATTATAATGTGTCTTAAATAATTGATAAGATAATGAACCTAATGTAATGTGGATGTGAAATCGATAGAATGTTGGAATAATGATCCTAATCAGCGGCCACCAATCGACAAAGTCGTTTATGATATCTCCAAGATCGAATTGCCCAGGAAATATCTAAGTTCCTCTACGAATTCAAACGAACAAAATGACTATCCAGCTGATGAAATCTCTAGTTTCGGTACATGCGAGTTAGTAGACGATTATGCGGAAGAGCTTGATATCGAGAAAAAAATGAAAAACTCAGGTAATACTAAAGTATTGGTTGTTTTTTCCCCACTAGATGACTGATGGAAATTGATTTATTGAAAAAGGAATTGATCAAAACCTGAGTTACGTCGAAAAAAAATTCACAAAAAGTCAAAGAAGAAAGTCGATCATGACCTTTAAGGAAAAATATCCGGAATTTAATAAAGAAGTCAGCAATCCTTTTGACTATCACTTGAAATATGCCATTAATGGTAACCCTGAAAGTCAGTATGTCGTTGGTCATTGCTATTTATATGGAATTAAAGTTGAAAATGATGAAAAAAAGGCTTTTCTGTGGTACTCAAAATCCGCCGAGGGCGGAGACAGCAATGGACAGAACAGCCTAGGAATTTGCTATCAGTTTGGAATCGGAGTTGTGAAAGACGAACGGATGGCCTTTCGATGGTATTTAAAATCCGCCAAAAATAAAAATACCAGGGGACAACGAAACCTTGGAATACCTTATCAATTTGGAATTGGGGTCCCCAAAGATGAAAAAAGAGCCTTCTTGTGGTACCTGGAATCTGCAAAGGAGGGGAATAGCGATGGACTGAATAATCTTGGACATTGCTATCGATTCGGAATTGGTGCTTCGAAGGATGAGAATAAAGCATTTGAATGTTATTTAAAATCGGCCGAAAGTGGCGATAACAGTGGACAAAATATTCTTGGATACTGTTATGAACATGGTATTGGGGTCGCAAAAGATGAAGAGGAAGCATTTCGATGGTACTCAAAATCCGCCGAAGGTGAAAATAGTAGCGGGTATATAAGTATTGGAATTTGTTATCAATTTGGAATTGGAATTCCAAAAAACGATGAAGAGGCATTTCGATGGTATTTAAAATCCGCCGAAGAAGATGATAGTAGCGGCCAAAATATTCTGGGTTATTGTTACGAACAGGGAATTGGAACTTCAAAAGATGAAATGAAGGCCTTCCAGTGGTATCTAAAATCTGCCGAGGGTGGAGACTGCAGTGGTCAAACTAGCCTTGGAATCTGCTATCAGTTTGGAATCGGAATTAGAAAAAACGAGGAACAGGCTTTTCGATGGTACCTAAAAGCGGCCGAAGGTGGAGACAGTGGTGGCCAAAATATTCTTGGAATTTGTTATCAATTCGGAATAGGAACTCACAAGGACAATGAAAAGGCCTTTCGATGGTACTTGAAATCCGCCGAATTTGGAGATACACGTGGTCAAATTAACGTGGCACGTTGTTATAGTGATGGAAAAGGAACATCGGTAAATAATGAAAGGGCAACTTATTGGCTCCAAAAGGCCAATGGTAATTGAATTTATGACATCCTATTTTGCATATACAGTATATAAAAATAGGCAATCCAACATTTCTTCAAAAAGGGTCGGTCGATTTTAAGAACTTTGTTTCTACCAAATACAACTTGGTATTTTTCATATATTTTTGGTTATTTTTCTATCAACGATTGATTTTTTATGCAGTCAATAGTTTATTATGTAGTATAATTGACTACGTATGTCTAGACGGAAAAACTGAGTGATGCAATAATGGACAAATATTTACTGTACATCACCGATAATCATTAAATTATATGGGCTTGCGACTTACGGTTCATAACAACTGTGCGTCGCAAAATTGATAACATTAATATAATATGGTAAAACCGTACATAACATATTAACATATTGTAATAAACTTTAATTTCGGTCTATTATACATACTGTATGTGCAGTAAGTGATTAATTTTCAGGTACAGAAGTTGCGCAAGGATAATAACAATAACGCATCTTTATGTAAAAATAAAAAAAAAAATAATAATAATATACCAATGTGTTGCAACCCTTTTATTATCCTTTTACACAGCCCATAAAGATTATAAATTGTCCAATATACCATCCATTCCGTGTCCATAAACGCGTTTATCATTTGGATTTGTGTTGTGGTTTTTGGTTATTTTAAATCTAGCTTTAACTACAATTAATTAAGATCTGATATGATTGTGGAGACCATTCCATGACCGGAATTCAAATAATGGTGATTGATTTTTCAAGTAAAATAATGCTGGTTTATTTTCGAAAAAATTATCTGCATATACAGTGATTTGAAAAAAAAATTGAAATTTTTCTTAATACGTATTTGCTAATATTATATTCTTTTTTTTTTTTTTTTTTTTTTTTTGAAGCCTTTGTGATTTGGTCTCTTTTGTTCTTAGGCACATATAATTGTAATTTTATTTTTACCATTAATTTAGTATCTGACTATTTATTAATCTCTATTGCAACTACTTCAATCTATATAGATCTATTTGGTTCTTGATAATTTCCAAAAACCTGTCTTCTATATAGAATTGTGAGAAAATTTTTTTCTTTTTTTGTTATTAGAGATATTTAATATATTGGATTAAATTTTATTTTTTATAGAAATTATTTCATTGACCTTCAATGTTTAAGTAATAATACTAAATAATTAATATATATTTCTGATACTAATATTATCTTCTTTAAATTAATATTTTTATTATTTGATATAACAATTGTCAAGATATCTATAACTTTAAGTATTTGTTATATTTTTTTAAAAGTTTAATTAGAGTATCAAAGATGGTTTTCTCTTTTCTATCTACTATTTTTTAATATGCTTTGGGTTTTATTTAATTTGCTACTATATTAAATATATTATATTATATATTTGATATGAGTTATAGTTTATAAATTAACTTTTAATTACTTATTTTATCTATTATATTATATTGTTTACAATTTATTAATCTATTTGCTATTATTATATTTATAGATCAATATACAATAAATATATTTTTTTAGTTATTTATTTGTTTATTGTTAATTATGATCCAATGTTTTATAGATATATACAGATTAATTTATTATTTAAATATAATTGTATTAAGCTTACTTATTTTAAAAAATGTATTATATAAGTTATTATTATAAATTAATCTAGTTATAAATAAATATATATTATATATTAGTTAACTATATATTACAAATATATTAGAGAAATTGAAAAAAAAACTTTTTTACTGATTATTTAACAATATATAAAAAAGATATAAACAAAAAGTTTTTATACTTCTTAATTAATAAAGTTCGATAATTTTCTTAAAACAACTTGAAACTTGTTTTTATAAGTTATTCTTATCCTTTCTACTTATTTCTAACTACTTTAAACAAAAAAGCTTTAATCTTTAGTGGTTTAAATAAACTCAAATACCTATCTTTTCTATTAAAAACATAAAAAGTTTAGGAAGTAAAAAGATCAACTTGTGAAGTATCATTTTTTAAAATTGAAAATAATAGAAAATAGAAATTTTTGTAACAAAAAAAGGTTTATTATCTATTTTTTTATATATTGTCTTTTGTTTTCTTAGTGTATCTACTATTTTTATAGTTTTTTTGAAAAATTTTATCTATTTCAGTTTGATTCTAAATTTTTGATAGTATAACATTATTTAAAATATAATTGACTAATATAAAATAAATTAATAACAAGATATAAACAAACTTTTTATTGACTATATTAATATATAGTATTCTAATGATATTATTAATAAAGAAAAAAGAAATTATTAATATAAATTCTTTCACTTCTTCAAATAAAATATAATCAAAGTAAAAAAATTATAAGACTATTAGGATAGATACTAAATTTTTTAATAATAAAATATAGTTATTTGGATAATTATTTTTGAAAATAAACCAAAAATTTTTAGGATACAAAATTATATTTTCAAAAATAATAATTCGAAATTATAACCTTTACAATTATAATTCTAAAATTATAATTTTAAAAATTTTATATTCTTTATTTTTTTATTATTTTTTTTAATTAAAATTGTATTAAATAAAATAATAAAAAATTAAAATAAATATAAAATAGAACTTGCATGGAAGGAAAATAACTGGATCTAAAGCCATATATAACTATATCTATATTTTGGATTCTATCTTACAGTTTGATTTACAGTTGCTTTCAAAAGTTTGAGTCCACTTACTATGTTTTTATTATAAATTTCAACTTTGACAATTTTTAAAT